GTGTGAGTGTAGGTATTATATATTGCTATTGTACCCACACCCACTCACACCCAATCGAAATTTACCTTTTGTTAAATTATCATTATTATTTTGTATTAAACTATGAATTGTTGTAAGATTTGGCATTGATCTTGGCAAATTTAACCGGATAAACTCATAAGCTGTCTTTCCTCCAAGTATGTGCAAGCATACGGTAAACGTTTCAGTTTATCATCATGTCTATATCGATTCGTATTAGCCAAAGATAAATTTTTCGTTATAGTATTTATAAATAGTGATAAAAATGCATGTTGATCATTTGTTGTACTGTGATTGTCATAGAAATTGAGAAGTGAAACTAGAATTGAATGTTTTCGAAGTTGTATATCAATCTTTTCAGATGTAAGAGACGATGGTTTTGTATATTTTTGATTTAATTTTAATTTCAAGGGTGGGTGGATGTTGATGGGAAATGAGATTATAGGCAACCACGCTCACACCTACACTCAAAATATCTAACGATACTTTTTATTTTAAAATAAATCAAAAATGAAAAAATTCCATAAGTCTTTCAGAAAGTGACTAATATATCGGACGGCGCACGCAGATGTATTCTGTTTGTGAAGATTACAACAAACGACAAACGCAATTCGACCATTTGTTGGTTGAAACCATACAATGTCCTACAAAACACTTTTCATAGAAGAATAAATTTGTTTATTTCGTACCTGAGGTATACCAAAAATACTACGAATATCATGATTGGTAAATGTGAAAAAGCTTTGTTTACCAACACATTCTATAAAAAAATATTTTTTTACATCAATGATAAGTCAGTACATACTCTTAATTCATTTCTGGTATTGACTGAATCGCTGGTATTGTATGCATCAATCAGAAAAAATACGGCATCAATACCAGCACCAGAGAAATTATTCGGTTTTTCATTTAATAAATTGAATGTAACTAATTTAATATTATCTACATTTAGCTCTTCTGAAACGATACAAAAAGTTTTACCGAAAAAAGAAAACTTCAAATTTCATACTATTCAGGTTGTTTATTATTAAATGACCACCATTATTTTCTTGGATTGTTTTTAAAATGGTGGTCTAAAAATAAAATACATGTTTATGTTTAAAAAGATGATCGATTTTACCTTTCCACATTTGGTAATCCAACGATTAGTATAGTGCCAGTTTTATTATTTAATTCTATTTTAAAAATTAGTTAAATATTAAAGAGTTTGAAAAATTTAACTAACTTAATTCATTTTCGAGTTCTTTGTCTCGATTACTGACCGTTCTTTCAGCAAGAAAAGAAACCAAAGCTTGCTGAAAGAAACGCTCTTTTTTTGTTCTGCTGTTTCATTGTTGTTTTCATTTTGTAATTCTTTTTCAAGTTCTTCAACACATTCAATCTAGGTTTAAAAAAAGCCAAAAGCTTTAATCCTCAAAGTAATTTTGTTTACTTATCCTGCAGAGTCTTTTAAAGTATTAAAAAATTGATTTTTATCCATTTAAAATTTTATTATCTACGAAATAATAAATTTTCTAATCAGATAAACTAAACAATATATGAGTGATATATATTCATAAAATGATAATTATCATTTTAATCTATTATATTAAATAAAACAGTTTGATATTCTTCTGTTAAATATGTATTTACAAGGCATTCTATCGATATAAATACATCTTTATTTATTCTATATCCTATATAGACTGGACGAAACATTAAGTCAAGGTGGACTAGATGTAGTCATAGAAAAATGATTTATTTTTCGCTTTTAGTCATTCTTTTCCTTTGATAGATGTTACTGATAAATCAACACATCTAAATTTATCTGCCTGAAAAATTCTTTCTTTATTACAGTATTTTTTATTGAATAATAAATTAATTTCTAGCAAATTCTTCTATTTTAATTTTGATTTATATTAAATCTTTTTATTTGATTATTTCAGCAATCAACAATATGATGACTTCCAACTTTATCAAGATATTAAAATGCTATGATACTTTAATTGATTTCTTTTTTTTATCTACATTATTCTACTAACAAGAACATGTTTTTTGTCGAATATCTTTAAACGAACACATTATTTTCATCAGTTAGATACATTGTATCAATTTGATCGATATTTAATCGTTATGGATTAGATGATTCATCAAGATGATTTGTTTTATAATGATTACAAACAACAATAATTCTTTATTTTGTACCTTTAATTCTATTCATGACAAGATTATTTCTCTAATGTTATATATAAACTTTCGTATCTTCAATCAATAAAAATATTTTGTTGGAAAATTAAATTCATCAAGACAATTTCATTTTCCATTTCTACTATAGCTATTCATCTTTTGTGAGCTTCATTTAATTTTCGTCGCGTTATTTTAACTTTTTTATTAACACAAATATAAAAATATTCAATATTTTTTGCTATTAATCTTAAAACAATTAACATTTGAAATAATTTATTTCATAGACGATGGAAGGATGGGTGTGGATATAGATATCATATTTATATCACACCTACACCCTTCGCAAAAGTTTCGCTATTTAATAATATTTCATATAATCAATTATATTGTGTAAAACTTGACAGTAATCTTTTACCTTTTGTATTAAGCTATTTTGAAAACATTTATTAAGTGCTTTTGATAATAGTATTCTGAGTCTGACAGACAGAAAGTTTTTTCTTAATAATATAATTAAGAAAGTACTATTTCTGAAATATTTTTGATTGATATCAGTCAAAAGTCTTTATTTTACTAATATTATAATATGAAAATAAGAAGTTGTTTTTCCAAAGCTTACTAATGACAAGTAAAACATTTCTATTATGTAAATATATATTCAACTTGCTGCATACTATTTTACAGACTTTGAAAGATCTTTCATATCATCATTGCATTGCTTGAAAAGTTTTTGCCACACCCACAAATATGTTACTCTCGAATTAAGTCCTAGGCATGCTTTTAAGAATACAATCAAGTTTTTTTCTCCTTTATATTGATATTTATTTAGGGCTAAACATTAGAATTTAAACAGTCTAAACATCTAATTTGGTTGTTTACTAGCTAATGGTGGTCGAGCAGTCATTATCGATTGATTCTCTATAGTCTGTATTCGATTTCCACGACGAAATATCTTCACAGCATATAATTCAATCAATGCAGAATAAAATTTGTGTCGAATATCTGGCATGAATAAAAGACAAATAATTGGTAAAAATAAAGTTTGCATATATGGAATAAAAACAAAAACTGCTGAGAGAAGAGAAGCTAATTGTTCCGTATTTTCAAATATTTGAATAAGTCCTATTGTTGTATATGGAATCCAACCGATTATATATAACATTGAAGTAGCTAATAATTGTACAGTCATTTTAGCTGAACGACGCTAGAAAGAAAAAAAAAATTGAAATTATTTTTCTATTTATTAATAATCATACCCATTGTTGATGTCTATTTATAGAAACTATTGCTTCTCTCATACGATGCTTTTGTAAAAAATGACGAATAACTATGATAATATTAATAAAAAAAGTGATAAATATTGGTGTTATTATATTTCCAATCCAATCAAATAAACCAAGTGCAAGTTCATATTGATAACATGTACCACCACAAACAAATGCATGAATATCATAATAAGATTGACATTTATATAAGTATACCAGAGAAAGATAAAATAAGGGTCCATATAAAATAAGACATGCAATAGGAAAATAATGTAATAATAAATAATGTTTTGTAATAATTTTTTCATAATAAATAAATAAATATCGTTCAAATGATGTCCATGCCATTAATGCAATACTCAAGTAAAACAATGAATAATTTAAACTAATCCAAATTGGACATATAGTTTCAGTATGAACATCTCCTCTATATAGGAAAAAAAGAGTAATAGGTAATTCAATTGTAATAATTAAACTATTCTCAATAATAAGAATTCCATATATTTGACTGTGTAAACGACGCCATTTGAAATGATATAATCTACAAATTCGAGGAGAAATTATTTATTTGTTTTTTTTTGTATAAAATAGAACTTACATAAAAAATACACAGGCAAGAGAAGGAACTTGTAAAGTAAGTAGTATATAAAATTTGATCGTATGCTCCAATATTGATATAGTAAATACATCGTTTTCATCAGATATGTTATCTGATTGATTACTTGCATTGGTTGCCATTGAAAACTAAAATAAAATGAAAAACTAACGATACTTTAACTTAGTCTTTTATAGTAGGAAAAAGAAAAAGATCTTCTGTCAAAATTTTAAACTGACAGATGACAATATTTCATTATTTTCTTAATACAAAGTACAACGGAAAGGTTTTTACTATCACAAAATCGAGGTAACAAATAGAGAAATTAATGATTATTCGATAGTTTTGAAAACATACTTCCATAAAAACTACTTTACTATATAACTTCAATACTACATATAAGCCGAAAGTTCTTAGAAAATCTTTTTAGAAAAATGCTTTTAGAAAATTAATATAGTTACAAGTGAAAAGGTTTATTATCTACTATTGCAAATAAGCTTCTTGCAATATTCTCAAGTTTGAAAAACATGTTGATATATTTGGTATTATCTGCAATACTTAATTTTAAAAAAATGATATGTTATATGTTTGATCTTTGATTGCTTTTATATGTAAAATAAAGTATTTTTAAAAGTTTTCTTTATTTAAATAAAAATGAACTTTATTTTTTGATATACTATCGCCATTCATTTTAATACATAATCGTTGAAGTTGTTTAACTAATGGTTTTGGACCACATACAAATACACCAATATCTCGTTTATCTTTTATTTTCCAATCTTCATCTATAATTGATTGAAAATCAACATCAAAATTTGGTCGTCCATAATGTGTTTTTGCTTGTAAACCAGTCCATATATCACATGTATCTGTATTGTTTTCAATAATTGCACGTGCTTCACTCATTGACCATTGTGTTAAATAAATTTTATAAGTAAGAAAATTAATTCGATCACGTAATTCTCGTTCAAGTTCTTGAAGCATTTCAGCAAACCATTCATAACATGCCGTAGTATTACACATCCAATAGAAATAAACACGACGAAGTCGAAGATGATCTGCTTGAGATGAACGAATATGTTTTAATATTGCAGCATATGGTGTTACTAAATAAAATTATTATTATTATGTGAATAAATAAAAGTCTATAATTCATACCTCCAATACCAGCACCAATAAGTATAACACCATCATAATTAAATACATCATCTGCTGGACTTCCATAAGGTCCATCAATACTTATTCGAGGAATATCTTCTGGATATTTTTCAAGATTTTTTGCTAATTCTTTTGTCCAATTACCAATTGTTCGAATATGAACACTGACATAATTTTCTTCAGCTGCAGATGTAACCGTAAATGGATGCCATTCAAATTTAGCAAGAGAAAAACATTTTAAATAGATATATTGACCAGGTTGTGGTGTTGTCATAGATTTTTTATTAAAATGAATTTCAATAACATTTGATTTATGTCGAATAACATTTACAATTTTAACTTGTTGTAAACTACGTATGAAACGAAGAATACGTTCTAGAATATAAAGACATAATGGAACACATAACCATATCCAACTAGCTGGTTTTGAACCTGCAAAACGTGGATATATACGACATTGTTCATTAGTACCCCATTCTCGATAAAGTGATGCACATATATCTGGATTATGTTCTTGAAGATTTATTTGTGATTTAACAATACCTTGTAGACCGTGTAACATAAGACAAACAAAAAAGACAATAAATAAATGATGAGTATACCAAAATATTTCATAAAATGATCGTCGAATTAACATTGTTGATGAACTCAATATAATAAGTAAACAAACACATAGAATAATACCTGTAATTCCTGCGGTTGTACCAAACATCGCACCAACACCTAATGTATTTGAATTGATTTTATCAAATGGATTAATTTGTGAGTCGGATGATTTTAAATATAATAAATTAAGTACAGCTGCAAGTGTTCCATATTCATTATGAACATCAATTAAACTTTCATAATTATAAATATGTGCACTAACATGTACGAATGACCAAAAACAAATAGCATAACCTACACAACGATGAAATTCAACATGTTGATCAAATAAACGTATTGTAAAACGACGAAAACGAGATTCAATTATACAATGTGGTAAAAGATATCGTATTAATGATAATAAATTACGACAAACAGGTAAAAGTATTAATAAACAATTAAAATTTAAACATAATGCTGATGCACGTGCAACACTTACACCATCTGATATTAATGCACGTAAATAAAAAAATGATCGTGATTGATGATAATTAAAAAATTGAGCAATAAAAAGAATTATATTTGTTACAATCCATATAAATAAAAATAAAATTGTTGCAAGATCATTGACAATAAAAAGTCGAAACCATAAACGAATTGATTGAAGAGACATATAGGACTAAAACTACTTTATTAGAAATAATTTTTTTTCAAGTACGATAAATGTTGTTGTTGATGTTGTAAATCGTTTTTAACTATCTCTTATTTAACTTACTATTTTCAGCAGTCTTTTTTTGTAGGTATGACATTCTCTCAATGTTTTTGTTTGTCTTCAGAACGGAATAAAACAAATATATATATATATATCTCGTATCAAATGATAAAGGTCTTACACAAAGAATGACTAATTTGAATCGATAAATGTCAGATAATTAAACGCGACATGCAAAGAATTTTGTAAATTTTTTATTTTTGTAAAATGAAAAAAAATTATTAAATTCTACGAACAAATCGATTAAATAATGATCAAAAAAAAAAAAGAAATAGTATTTTATCAAGTAGCAGATGTTACAGTAGGATTATCCATATTTAATTCATTTCTGTTATTAAATTCTTGATGTACTCGCCGTTTACATAAATCCGTTATAAAAACAGGTGATTTTCCATATTGTGGTAATTCTTTTGTTTCAACTCGAATTCTACCTGCTGCAACACCATATTGTCCAGCTAATGGTAAAAACCAAAAGCAATTTTCATCACGTAATGCAGCAAATATATAATATAAAGCACCAATAAAATAAAGTATATCACCATACTTATATAATAGATTTTCTCCGTATTGTTCTGGATATAAATTAATTTGAATATTATATATAATATAAATAAATGAACTTATTGTTGTCGTTAAATATGCAATTGTATCGGGATCATCAAGAGTAAAACCTCGTCCTATTGTACGTGTATATGTCATATACCAAGATATTATCCTAGAAAAAAAACAGACGAGATAATAGTATATATTTAATTTTTATTAATATTTTCGAATTATTTTACCATCCAAACGCCGCAAATAATTCAATAATAGCTGCTGTCAATTCAATTTTATGTACAGCTAATGTATAATAACCGCCAAGAGTATCTTGTTTTGAATACCAAAAAGCTGACCAAAGATAAAGTCCAGCTTCAATATGATTTAAATATTCTGGTATCATTATAATATCAAGCCATGATCGATCACGCCATGCCCACCAATAGAGAAAAGCTGATAGTAAATGTAAAAAACCAAGTATAATATAGTATCGATTGATATTTGAATTATGATCGATGGGTTGATCAAGATTTTTTGATAGAATAGATGATGTTTCTGTTGAATTGCTATTAAAACTAGGATGAAAATTAATAATTAAAATTCCAATTGAATAAATTAAATAGACTATATTTGCAAGCATATATCGACTATGTAATAATTTTCTCCAGCAGATTGGAAATCGAGCTCGTACATATTTCCATCGTAATGCTTTCCAAAGAGAATCAAATGATTGAAGTTCATAAATAGGTGTAGTTAAATCTTTATTATCAAGAATTAAGACTGATGATGCTGGTGTTATAGCCATCGTTTGTATGATTGAATAACATCTTTTCCGACTAGAATATAGACAATGGATAACGAATCATCAACTAGATACATAGAGGGCATCGATAGATAACCATATCAACAATATTTATACGATACAACACAACTATTTTATGATATTCAGTATTTATCTTATATTATTTTATTATCATATATTTTTATTATAAATAGAAAATCATTTATACAAAAGATAAAAAATAATTAAAAATCTGTTAATTCACAATAAGGAATTGTATTACTGTCTGAAGACGCATTTTTCTTTCTTCTACGTTTACATATATCTGTAATAACTATAGGTGGCAATCCATATTTTGGCAATTGTTTTGTTACTACTTCAATTCTACCTACTGCAACACCATATTGTCCAGCTACTGGTAAAAACCAAAACCAATAATCATCACGTAAAGTACCAAAAAGATAATAAACAGATCCAATAAAACCAAGAACATCTGCATAAGTAAATAACATATTTGAATTATATTCCTCTGGTCGAATATAGACCTGCAAATTATATATAAAATACATTAATGTATTTTATATATAATTTGC